GCTGTACCTAGAACCAGTACTTGGACTAAGTTACATTTTACATCTACTTTGACTGGGACCTATTGACATTTTGCATCAACTTTTATTGATTTTCTTTATCTAATGAATCTACTAAGAAATGTTGTTTCCACTTTCCATTCCTTGTTGGAATACTTTATGATCTATGTTTAGAAAGAACCACCATTTTAATTCTTCTTTCTTCAAGGTCCCTCTGCTTTAGCTGTCCATCCATCTGGTGTTGAGAAAACTCTACATGAACGCATACATGAATTGAAAGGGTGGTATGGAGACAAGCAGGGAAAAATGTTTTGGGTTTGGGTGGATCCTGTGTTATCTACACAATGGTTCAAGCACATGGCTGGTGAATTTCGGTAAGTGGGAGCCGTGTGGTGAGATTTCTTTATATGTTCTTCTATATCTGCTCAATCTTTGCAGCTTTTCAATTTAAACTAAATGTCATATCTGTGCTAATTTATTTACTTTTCTTGCATTCATCTCTGTGGATATGGAAATAAATGTCTCTCCAACTTGGAAGACCAGTAATTGCAATTTGCATGTGAACATAATTACCTTTGAGCCCTGGATTTCCATTTTAGTATATTTATATAGAGTGTGATTCACTAAATACCAAAATAATTAATTTAAATTTATTCAAACAATTGAAAAGGATGAATCTTTAATTAAAAATTAAAAAAATAATAATTAAAATAAAATTAATCAAGATATAAAGTACTAAGATATTGACTTCACTATAATCAATCAATATAAATTCTATATTAATATACTTCTAAAACTAATTTGTTGAATGTTATTGCAAGTGATGGTAGATTTTCCTAAATTAATTTACTAGTTTTCTCAAATCAAGTTAATTTAGTCATATCTTGATGTAATTTTAAATAAATTAATGAGTATTAAATTCTATCAAAACCAGAAGGGAGAGCTCCTAAGTATCTTCTGTTACTCCACTACCGCATGTAAGGTAAGGTCTTATAGTCTAACACAAGATTTATATTATTATTGATCTAATTTATACATTTTTTTTTTAAATTTATGCATAAATTATTAAATCAATCGAAAGTTAATCGGGCTTTTAATGCATTAAATTCAATAATATAAACTCATCATACGAATAATTTTAATTGAAAATATAAAAATCACAAATCTACATTAAATTGATTAGGCTATATTATCATCTTAATAAAATAAATTAATTCATAATAAAAATAATAAAATCTAAAATCATAATTATAAAGATAAGAATATCAAGGAAGAAAAAAATCCAATTTGAAGAAATTAAAATGCTTAATCTCTTATTATTGATGAATCCTCTATATTGATCTCCAAAAATACTCAAAAGAGAGCGGCCACCAACCTCCCAAAGCTCTCTGCAAAGCCCCCCAATTCTAAATTTGGATAGGTATTTATAAGATTTTAAAAATTTTAATTCAAATAAAAGTAGATTTACACCAATAATAATAAATTAAACACGAATTGGGTGAAAATTGCGTAAGAGGTCAACACCTTTAACAAGGTGCCCACACCTTCTGTTCAGCGCACACTACCCTCACTTGTCGGGTTTTTGGCCTTCCTAGCCATATTGCTGTTAATGGTAAAATAACAGTCCTGGTCCCTGACTTCTGGATTCTGAAAAACTTAATCTTCAGCTTTTTGATCTTTGCATTTGCTCCTAAAAATTATAATTTCTTCCAATTAAGTCCTTTCATACGTAAAAAATGAAAATTATGTAAAATCAAGTAAAATCTTATAAAACTCATCCAAATATCAATAATATCAAGCCAACAATTTTACATTAATATGTATATAAATTTAACTTATCAAGAGCAATCCATGGGCGACTCTTAATCTGATAAATGCTGCTTTAGAACAAAAGATTGTTTCAAAGACTTGGATGTCATGGCATCTCAAGAATCCCAAGACTACAGTCCCAAGGGTTAACTTGTCATCCAAATCCTTCATTTTACATATTT